TAAGTTCAAAGTCCAGCTATCAGGAGATTTCTGTGTTTAATAGTGCCATTTTCAGTTTTGTTAAGACTCTCATTCTGTTCTCGTTCTGAAAGTAGCATGCTGCAGATTGGCAGCAAGCAAATTCAATTTAATTTGGCAAATAATCTTTATAGAAAGGCTATCCCAGCCCTGTGAGTGAGTGCAGTACTGGACTCTTGACCTCAGAACCATGCAACATAATGGGGGAGACTGAAATAAATTTAAATAGCTATAAGACAAGACAAAGCATGATCAATGCACTCAAAATTGGTGGAAACAGCTGCATTCTTGCTGAAGGGCCAGGGAAGGCTTCTTATCACAGAAATGTAACAGTGAAAGAGAACTTAAGTGGTCATGTGGCGGGTGGGGGGGATTCACATCTGGCTTTTATGGAAACTTGTAGAAATACAGATTCATAAGGCATTATTCCAACCTTATGATTCAACCAGAATTTCTAGAGTAAAGGGTTTGGAAATCTGGATCTTTCAAAACTCCCAGTGATTATGATGATCAGCTAGGCTTTGGGAACTACTGAAGCGACAAATTCCCTACCCAATGCTAGAATCCCCTGAACAGTGTTCCTTCAGAGTTTTGTTTAATCTCTTCTGGAACAATGCAAGCTCACCACCTCTCAAGGCATCCAACCCTTGAGAGATGAAGGGTAAGGATATGTCAGAAATAATTAGGAAATAGAGGGAGGTAAGTTTGGAGAGGAGACTTGGGGTTTCATGATGGAGTGATTTGAATATCACACTGAAGAATTTCAACTTTATCCTCTCTGAGATGGAGGCCCTTGATAGGATCTTGGTCATCACTGGGTTTAAAAGCCTGTTGAAGCACAAAGGGAATGGAAGTTTAACCCAGGCGCTAAAGTGACCCAAATAAGGACTTTAGGTCAGAAGCAGCAAACAGCAATGTGGAGGGAAGTCTAAGCTGTACTGCAGTTCAGCCGTACAAAGCTTGACTGATTGGGGACAAGGAAGGGTCAAAGCTGATTCCGGGGTTTTGAGGTCCTAGAGTGTTGAAAATGTGAAGAAGAATGGGAACTGCAGGATCAAGAGCAGGTTAGGAAGACAGATGGCTGCCCTGGCTGGTGTGACTCAGTGGGTTAGAACGTTGGCCCACACATAAAGGGTCCCAGGTTTGATTCCTGGTCAAGGGCACATACTTGAGGGGTCACTCCCAGCCTATGTGAGAGGCAACCAGTTAATGTGTCTCTCACATCCATGTTTCTCTCTCTCTCTCTTTCCCTCCCTCTCCTCCACTCTCTGCAATGGAAAATATATCCTCAGGTGAGGATTAACAACAACAACAACAAAAGACAGATGGTCAATCAGGCTTTTGACATTGGTAATGCATTGGTTTCCATCACCATGCATCCTCCTGTCACCTGTGTCAGAGCAGAGCTTAGTTATGACCCCCTTTGTGAAAATCAGAGATGGGCCCTCAAAATGTCTGTTGACTTAAAATAGTCCTTCTCCTCTCAGGATCCTCTCTGCTTGAATTTAGGACCTTATTATTTCTCACTTAAATAAACATAAGCCTGAGGACTGCCCCACTCATGCTGCTATCTTTGTGTGAATTAGAACAGTACCCTTTTTGAGTTTATAAATTAGAAAAAGTGGCTTTTGTTTGGGTAGAGGCAGCCCTTTGTTCAGGGCTTGGGCCACAGAGCACACCTTTGTGGGACAATCAAGACTCCCCTTCCTGTAGGATGAACTCCCTGTCCAGGATGGAGGGCTCAGGGAGCTGAGTGCAGGGGTGGGAGAACCCACTTGTTGCCTCAGCTGGTACACAACCCCCTGGATTGGCTTCCCAGATGGTCTCTTTGATCCCCCTTGCCATTTCTATTTTACACAGAGTGATTTTTTCCCCCCCTAAAATAAAATTATATCTCATTCTGCCTCAAACTTTTCCATGTTCTCCCAATGTCTTCAGGATAAAGTTCCAATTCTTAACTAGTAACAGAAGTCCATTCGCGACAGCTTCCCACCCTCTTCCTGGGCCACTCTCCTCCGCTTCCTCCTCTCCACTCACAGCTACCTGGATGAGAAATGCACGAAGAAATGATTGCTGGCCCAGGCTGCGTTTTCTCACTCCCTGCCGGGCAAGTACTGTCCCTCCCACTCCCCCAAAGGCCAGATGGCTTCTGGCTTTTCTGAGGTTTACTTGACTCATCTCAAGGAAGCTGCCCTAGTCCTAATATCAGTCTGCATGGGATCCGCCCCCGGGTGCCCTTCTTCCTGCACAGCCACCTGGAGCCAACACTTCCCTGGCTCTGACCTCCTGGAGGACTGAGAATATGGTCTGCTCCTGTCTTTTCCCTCAGCACCGTTATGTAGGCACCTGGCTCATCCTTGTTGAAATGGACAATGATTTAGAAACAAATGAAAAGTACAGATTTTAACACCACCTCACACCAAACGAACAAAATAACAACAAAAAAACCAAAATCAAAAAAAGTTTTTGCTACTTTCTAAACAGAAGATATTCTGTCAGTTGTTGAAGCCATTTTATTTTCCCTACTTTTCTGTAGTCTTGAAAGGGGTGTACATTTAGAGACTAATGATCTTTGGAAAGGTAACTGCTTGAATGAAGTCTGAGGCTTCCATTCCAAGGCTGGTTTGCTCAGGTGTGTCTGTGTATTTGACCTTTGTGAGATGCTTTAAAATACTGCCCATAGATTCAGGGAACATACTTGATCTCTGTCAAAACATGCTAACTTTGAAGATGGAGGACTCTGTCGTTGCTCTAAGATGGAAATGCCATCAGTGGTATCTCTGATGGTGTTCCAGCTGCTAGACCAGCCCAATGATGAATTTTGAAACACTTCCCTAGTCTATCCAAAGGTTCCAGGAACTTTCAAGCCAATTTGCATTTATTTTTCTGTGTGCAGTCCCCGTCTTACCACAAAGAATGTGAAGAGGCTGTGAGAATGTGTTCAATGAAAAAACAAACAATTAAATGTAAAGTATTACTTAAACTTCAACAAAAATTACAAGGAGGCAAAATATGACAGTCGGAGTCTGAGACATGGGAGATGAGAGCTGTGTCTTAGATGTGTCCGCCCAAATGTTGATATAGTTGACACTGTGCTTCCTTGAGATAACATCCAAGTGGAAATTCATTCTGTAGCACGATTCTCACTGTCTATAAGGAAATATGGTCGTTGCCAAATTTCCTTCATAGAAGCTATGTTAACAGTGAAAAGAGATGCTGCTCAGGGCATGAGTCTGCACTTTGTAAATGTGTTTTTATTTTTTTCAACCTTTGGCCATCATTTAAAAATATTTTCTTTGGTTTTTAGCACTAATAGTTTTCACTTTTTTTTCAGCTGGTTTCATCAGTTTCCAATAGCATCTTAGCTTTAAAGAATTTTTTTGCTGTGATTCTTTTAGTGTTTTAAAATAAATGCATAAGTACTTATCAACTTTAATATTTACTATCACTATTAACAATTACACAAAAATTGAACTCTACACACTGACTTTTATTTCATTTCCCCCCTTCACACCCTGCATATTACACATACTTTGCTCATGGGAATGATCATTTTGAGGTAAGTTTGATTTTTAGTTTTGGCTTGGCATCTATGATACAGTGTCTCAGTTCCCTTATCTTTCAGGCAAAAACTTGAACTTCTGAAAACCAGTGCATCCTCCAAATGCAAGGCATAATGTTTATCATGAGGGTATTAAATCATATTTTAATTGATTAATACTATAATAATAAATAATAAATGCACTTTTCTTTTCCCACAAGCTCTCTTTGGAATATGTCTCCTATCCATTTTCTATAAGACTAAATGCCTAAAACAACTCCTATTGTTGATATAAAAATATTCCTCCTCCCTTCTTTCTTTAAACAGCTGTTTAGTGACTAATGGGGAGCTCAGAGGGACGCACTTGTCCCAGAAGAGAGAGAATTCTGTCTTAATCAGCCCCTCCCCATCATCCCTTGTCATCCAGGACAGCACTAGGCTTATTACTATGTACTCAGTAAATAGTTGTCAGTTTGACTTGACGTTATAAATGATTTTGCCATTTATTTCAGTGGTAAAGGGTAAGTAGTGTCTGTCAATTGATAGAATACTCTTATTTTCCAAGTTCTGAGTCCACCCTTGACTTCAAAGAAAGGAGCAACCTTCAAAGCTTTTTTGAGTCCATTCATTCATTTGTGCACATTTGGGGAGAAAGTAAAATGGAGGGGGAAAAGTCAAGATACTCTTCTGCTTCTTTTCTGCTTTGCTTAACATTAACCATCTAAGTGTTTGCTAACTTCACTCGAAAGGATCAAATGAGAAGAAGACCACAGAAGTTCACTACATGCTAGCTTATTTATTACACTGTAATGGAATACAATTAGAGGATCTCACTCCTTTATTTCTACATGATCCACCATCCTATTTTCTTCTTTTCTCTTTTTTTCACTTTGAGAATGATTTGTGTGTGCTTCTCCCTAAAATCTGTAGGATGGCTTCAATGCTTAGTTTCCAGCATTTTCCTTAAGTATCTTCTGTGATTTAAGGCACCTGGGGGGAGGGACAGACGAGCTTCCACATCAACGGATGATGCTTTTTATCTTTCTAAGTGACCCACAGTTTGGTTACTGGTGCAATGAGAAATTAAGATAAGTGCACATTTCAATGACTGCCATTTCACAGTCACTCAAATCAGAACTGGAATGCCACAAAAACAACTCCCTGTTAGCCCAGAGAAGAAAAAAAGAAGAAAGAAAGTAAAGGGGAAATTCAGATTAGTCACAAAGAAGTTCCCCGCCTGCTGCAAAGCGGCAGTGTTAAAACTGAGAGAGTCCGCTCTGCTCTTTCAATTGCCTCTTATCTCTGGTCCTGCCACCTCTGTGGATTTGCTGATTGATACGCCTGGTTTTGTCTTCAGCTCCTTCTTGGCAGGGGAGACGTCAGTTCTCTCTCAGATCTTCCTTGGCCCAGTTTTCATCTTTGCTGTATCCAGACTGTGAAGATGGAAGGGGTTCAACCCCTGGATGAGAATGTGAGAAACGCGCCAGGTCTGAGATTCCAGACGCACAAGCTCATGCTGGTGGCCTCTGTGGTCCAGGGGCTGGGGCTGCTCCTGTGTCTCACCTACATCTGCCTGCACTTTTATGCTCCTCAGGTAAGATGCACATCCGGCACCTTGTTGCCACCAGCTCACGCTGATGGCAGCTCCAACAGCTGCAAAGGGTCACTTGGAAAGAATCTGATAACCAAATTGTCCAGGTGTTTGTTTTTTTCTTCCCCCTTAGCAATTTTAAAGTGTGGTTAAACACCCTCTGGTCTCCTTTTTCCTTCCCTTTTCTCAGTAGTGGCAATGGTGGGGCACAGTGGAGGTAGGGCAGGGGCGCTGCTTCTGGATTATTCTCTTTTTCTTTGCAATGCAGGAATACTGGTATTTTTTTATGAGCCGTCATTGAAGCTTCGAGTTTTATGAAGCTTCGAGTCATTGATATACCTGGTTTACCTATTTTCTTAGTTAGCGTCTGATCAGGGAATTAATATAAAAAGGAAATAAGAATGAGCTCAGTTCCACTTTGCCATTGTATTCATAAAACCCACAGACACTCGTGGACATTTGCTCCTGCTTTGCAAAGAATGCTGAAGGTATCAATAGTAAGTTCTTTTAAATAGCTAATAGTTCTTTTAAAGGCAGAGATGTGTGTGTTCCGCGCATCTGCGCACATGGCCAAACATTTACTCCAACAACTTACCCCGATATTGATTCTCACAGCCTTTCTCTACCAATCACAACGTACAGACATCACTTTGTCTATTTTATACTTTATCCAATATATTATGTGGTGGGTGCATCTTTCTAGTATTTTCCCCACCTAATGAAGATATGCCTTGCAATCTCCCTTCTCTTTATTCTGATCCCCTTTATATTTCTTTTTTCTTATGTATTTGTTCAGACCTGCAAACATTATTCAGTCTTTAAGGATGTTCTTGACTGCTGGCAACTCCACTGAAAATAAATGTACAGTCTGCCCGTGTTCCCTTGTTGAGCCTAGTCTGATCATACTGTTTCCCTGGCGGGTTACTTGAGTTTAGAAAAGTCTGTCCCTGGTAAAGATTAGACAATAGGAACTTTTATTTCTGATGGACAGGGCAGAGTCTGAGTATCTCAAACAAAACTAGGATAAGACCAGTGGAGTCCTGGCAGACGCCTGGGCTTGCCTCTGCCCACCGGAAACAGGGTTTTTCAGTGCAGAGAGGCTGGTGGGAGTGTGGTTGTGATCACTGTACTGCAAAGAGGGCTCACATCCCCCGATTCCAGAAGTGTAGCAGGTGTCATGTCATGCTCAAGTCGGCAGACTGGCGAGCACAACACCACACTCACCCTCTCCTCATCATGCCATGCCTTTCTTTCTCTCTGCAGAACCCTTTGGGTGCAATTAGAATAGGCAATTTGGGTCGCAAGTGCGGGGGCGGTGCAATGTGTCCATGGCAGGGTGCCTAAGACGCAGACCGGAATTAGGCTCTTCCGAGAAGAAAACAGAGCGTAACCAAAAATAGAACAGCTGAGTGCATGCACCAGGTCTGGGAGCCCTGAGAGTGCTTTTTCAAATAACCACAGTGTCACAGACACTGTGACGATGAAAAGACAGGACAGATGGCTCCAGTCAAGACTCAACTAGGGCTGTGAGTAGGAGAGAGCCAAAGGTGAAATGGATGCATATAGCCCGCTGGTGGCAGAGTGGCCCTGGACTAGAAATACCCAGGGGATGCTGAGAAGGAGAGGGGTCTTTTCTGCCAAGTCACCCAGCAGCTCTGTGATAGAGCGTGGAAGGAAAGCTGAGTGCTGGTTTCCAGGACACTAGAATTCATGGGGAGCATTCTTTGATCCTGGTGCAGAAATGGAAGCAAAGACATAGGAGGTACAGTAGAGCTGGTGGCTCAAGAAACGTGCTCTCATATACTCTGGATACGGAATTTTTTGGCACAGACTTGACATGAATTTTAATTTTTTCTTATTTCTAGCTAGACTGTTTTAGCTAACATAAATATCTCATACTGTTATAGGATACAGCACAATGGGTCCTTACATTTAATTAATTTCATATACTTTATTGGGGGGGGGATAGCACAAAGAGATCATATATATTTCTCCCTGGAACTTGATGAAATGGTGGTGGTGGCAGTGTGTGTGTGTGTGTGTGTGAGAGAGAGAGAGAGAGAGAGCGAGCGAGCGACATTGAGAGAGAAGGGTGTAGAGTAGCTGTTGAAAAAGGGACACTTTCTAAACTCATTGATAAAATTGTTTGGAATTTTGGTTGAAGCATTGGCTAGATGATGATGCAAAAACCCTCTACTTTTATAAAACAATATTGCAGTGATCTGTAATATTGCAATGAATTTCCATTTGGGTGTTATCTCAAGTGAGCGGAGTACTCATCACTCACCCAGTTAAGTTGGATTTTTTTTTTTGTAGGAAACAGATACTTGGAGAATAATCATAATTTCCCTCATATTTTAGATTTAATTTTTAGCCTTATAAAATAATTGATTATATGAAAGGCTCTGTAAAACACAGATGTAACGATTAAACTCCTTGGGCCATTAACTTCCCCCTCATCATTCCATGACATTAGGTTGATTTCTGTGCACAGCAGAAGTTCTCATTTTGGAATGTCAGAAAAATAAAAGATAGACTTTTCCCTCTCATATAAGTCACTTCCCTCTTTGGGTTTTGATTTTCTCATGTGTAAGCAACTGGATCAAATGATCAGAAAGATCTCTTCCAGCTCAATATTCTATGAATATGTACTTTATACATATATTCAGAGAATGGAATGAGATTTTGAGAAATACAAAATATAAGTTAGTAGATTTTTGTGTCTGAGATGAATTTCCTGGTTCTTAAGAAGGGGTGGAAGAAAATCAAATTTGCATATATATTTGTAATTTATGCTTATTTATATACTATGTACATATCTAAATAACCTGTTATGTGTTAGCAAAATACCCTATTTAGAAGGAGGAAAGAAGTAGATGCTAGAAGAATATCTATGGTACAAATTATAAAACTGAGCCCTTTTGTCACCAAAAACAATACATGCTCTTTGGATATTTATTTAAAGTATTAGGCTTCTAGTTTTACCTATTAGTTAGCTTGGAACAATGGCAGGAAAGTAGGTCAATTTACAAATGTAATTTACACATTTATATATATATAATTTTTATAAATATAATTTATACATTTTATTTGTGTATCTCTGGACTATTGAGGCTGGGCTCTTCCAAGATTTGTATCACCCTCATCACAGCAATTTATAGATGTGAGGCTTTTAGTGATAATTCTTTAGCAAATTTCAGTTGAAGGTTTATATTCTCAACACTTTTACTGCCGGGTAAAACGGAAGTAGAGGAAATTGTTAAGTGAGCTGACCAGATCTGATTAGAATTCACAGTTTCTTGATGAAGGCTATAACTTGGACTTTTGTTTATATTGTTTAGGGAGAAAAAAGAAGCTTTTTTAGCCTGAAAAATCTTGTCTCAGATTAACTCAGTTTAAATGTATCCCCATGTAATCTAACAAGAGTTTTAGAAATTCCTTTTTGAAAAAAAAAAGCCAGACATGCAAATAAATGATTTTCAATGCAAATGAATTTACATTTCATAAGCGATTCCGTGGTAATAACAAAGAAACATCTGAAGTATTGAACTGATTTGTCATTAAGTACTTGGAGGCTCTAAAAGGGGTACTAATAATAATGTATAGAATCATTGCATTTTTGAGCGGGCATTACACATAGTCTACTTACAGTTAAGAAAACCAGAGAGGGTAAGAGCTGGGAAGGAGGTAATGCAATAGCTGATATTAGAAGGAAGAGTAAAAAGTCTTTAAGTAGACAAGAAGGATGGTAGTGATTGGGAAGGGGGTAGAAGGTTTTCTAGATACTTGTTCAGTTGATTGTTCAAAATGGTTGAAGTTGAGTATTCCTAGGGCAAAATGGTGGAAGGTAAAGCTTGAAAGGGCTGCGACTCATGCTAGGGAAACACTTCCTTCCATTACATGCAAACACACACACACACACACACACACACCCACACACACACACACAACCAGGAAAAATTACCCAAACTGCTGCTTCTCCAAATTTCGCTTCTGTTCTGTGGTCTACATATTTCTATAGATAGAAAGTGAGTTTAGCCCTGACTGATTTGGCTCAATGGATAGAGCCTCAGCCTGCGGACTGAAGGGTCCTGGGTTCGATTCTGGCCAAGGGCACATGCCTGGGTTGCGGGCTCGATGCCCAGTAGGGGGTGTGCAGGAGGCAGCCAATCAATGATTCTCTCTCATCATTGATGTTTCTATCTCTCTCTCCCTCTCCTTGCCTCTCTAAAATCAATAAAATATATTTTTTTAAAAAAGAAAGTGAGTCTAATCTCATGCAGCACTAGGGGGCGCTACAGTAAAACTAACCATTCTCAGATGGCTTAATGAAGCCTACACTCTTAAATAAGAGTCAAGATAAGAAAACCTTTTTTCTAGTCCATCGCCTTAACCACTCGGCCACGACTACACATAGAAAACCTTTTTTGAGAAGCCAAATACTCGACAGGTATAAGAAGAACAAGGGAGGCCTCATCTGATACTTTATAAATGAAAAATTTTGATATAGTACTGACCCAAGTTGAAAATAGGATAGAAAAATTTGTACTGGGATCATGCTGGAAATGTCACATGTGTCCGAGTATGGAAACACACACACACACACACACACACACACACACACACACACGAGTTCGGGATATAGATTTAGGGATATAGTCTCCCGATCCCATTTCTCTGACGTCAGCCCCTCGTTATAGGCACAGAGTAGACCCAGTCCTGCCTCAGGGCTAATCACCTGCCCTTCCAATCCTATTTTTTTTAATAGAAATTACTTCTGTGTCCACTTTCAGAGAACCTGTACTCTCCACTCACGTCAGGGATTCTGTCTGCATCCATGGAAAATTAACATTAACCTTCTGGAATAATTTAGGTGAGAAGAGTCATGTACAGTGTTGTTAGGAGTGAAAATAACTGACTTACAAAAGGTTATTTCACATCAAAGGTCACAAATGGAACATATGGTGGCATTAGGATGAAAGAGAATTCCATACCATCCTACG